CTAACTTCACTTAGCATTATCTTCTCTAACTCCATCCATTTACCTGCAAATGCCATGATTTTATTCTCTTTTATTGCTCAGTAATATTCCATTGTGTATATATGCCACAATGCAAATTAAAACCACTCTAAAATTTCATCTCACTCCAGTCAGAATGGTAGCTATTATGCATACAAACAACAATAAGTTTCGGTGAGGATGCAGGGAAAAAGGTACACTCACACACTGCTAGTGGGACTACAAATTGGTGCAGCCTATATGGAAAGCAGTATGGAGATTTCTTGGAAAATTGGGAGTGGAACCACCATTTGACCCAGCTATTCGTCTCCTTGGTCTATACCCAAAAGACTTAAAAACAGCATACTACAGGGACACAGCCACATCAATGTTTATAGCAGCACAATTCACAATAGCTAAACTGTGCAACCAACTTAGATGCCCTTCAGTAGATGAATGGATAAAAAAATATGGCACATATACACAATAGAAAGTATAATCCTTTTAACATAAGACTTCTCTTTTCCCAGATTAAGCAATTAAAAGTTAATCTGCAGAAGACACTGGAGTTTCTCTAGCAGTCCAATTGAGTGTGTCAACTTTCATCAATGGACCATTATTTTTAGAGGAACAGTAGGAAGATCACTGATATAAAAGATCACATATAAATGAGGTGTACATACCGGCATTTTATCACTTAGCAGGCCAAAGAGTGGTGAAGAAATGGCGTAGGATAGTGCCAAACCCAGGAAGACCAGTCCCACATATCCGGCTGGTAAATGAAACTGAAAAACAAACCCTACACTCAAGTTACATGGTTAAGTCATTTTCAAAAACCAAGCATCTACTTCTCCCACCTGCATTTCTTCAACTCTTACTATTACCACGATTCTACTGATAAACACACAGCATTATTCCTAATTTTTGTCTTACTTTTTGAACATTGGGTGACTTTTTCCCCCCCTCTGGGAGGATCCTAACCAGAGGTCAGAGGACATAGATGTTTTGTTTTGTAATTTCTGATATTAATCATATTCAGTTAGATGAATACATAACAGTGAATTGCACCATTATGTATAATTATAATGCACCAATAAAAATATGGAAAAAAACATAATTTAGTTTGTATGGATTATAGCATTTTAATGTCTAATCCAGTGTTTCACAACTTTTTGTGTACATAAAAATTACACAGAGAGCTTATTCAAACAGGTTCTTGGATCTTAGCCCTGGGGTTTGTGATTTAGAAGTTGGGGAATGGAATGAGGCCTGAGGATGTATATTTCTAATAAGCATCACTGATACTCATAATCCACAGACTGCACTCGGGGGCCCACTGGTACGAAAACCACTGATGTATCTACTTTCTCCATCTCAAAAGAATATTTATATCTAATTTAAGACATGACCCATTTAAAAGAATTTTCAAACAGTAAGCTCTTATACAACTCTGATAATATTGCCAACCTGATATTGATATCTTTGGGAGCAGTATCTAAATTATTTTCACTTTCCTTAACTAACAAGTCAAGATATCATCAATATATTTATGAGTTTGTATGACAAATACTAGCACACGTTAAGCAATTAATCCTTTAAAGATAGTAACAAGATACAAGAGCCCAGAATTTTCCTCTTCTTATTTTACGACTAGAAGGGTAAAGAGTAGCACCATCTTAATCCAAGAGTCTACACAACCAGTGATCCTACAGCAAACTGCCAATTTAAAAAATATAAGCTATCAGAAGAAAAAGTTTTTAAAATGTTGATGGGCAAATAGGAAAATAAATGTTTACAGATTACTTAGACTGGAGTTGGCTAGCAGGATGGAGCAGCAGCACTTGCTTGAAGTAGGAAAAAAAGCAACAGACCCACCAGAACCCCTGGGGACATGATGAGTCTGATGCCAATCAAACAGGAACAAGCAGGGGTGCCCCAACCTATCATGCCACAAATGAGTCAACTACAGTTGTCTTTGGAGAAACCTCCTCTCATCTTCTTTACTTTTGAATACACTATTTTCTTGAGCAAAACCAATCGTTTTAAAAAAATTTTTATTCTAAGATACAAAAAAAATTTTATTCTAAGATTTTCTCCAAGATCAGTTACAGATATGTGTGTGTGTGTAGACACAACTTATTAAGAGTACAGAAAAATGACTGAAAGGAGCATGTTGTTGAAGACGTGGATGGATTGTGAAACCCTAAACACACAGTATTTTCATTATGATCATTATGGACTTCATTGATCTCATGGGTTAAGGGCCATTTCATATTATTCTCTAAACCTTGGACAGCACAAGGTCTCCCAAGTTCTTCTGTGAAATACTCAAAACTGTCTTTAGTGATTTCAAGGGATAGTGTACAATTATAAGAAAATCAATGATCAGAAAGCACATGAAATTACCATATTAGAAAATTTACTGAAACTTACATTTCCAGTAATGGTACTATTTAAGTTTAATGCTTTATATAAGGACAGTGTGGGCTAAAGTTAGTAAATTTTTGTCTCTATAGACACATATTAATTCTCCAGTAATTAACTTGACTGCATCATTATCTTTCTTCATAAATATCTAAAAGCAGGGAGGGGCTGGGGATGTAGCTCAGTGGTAGAGCACTTGACCAGCATGCACAAGATCCTGTGTTTGGTCCCTAACACTGCACACACAAAAGAGAGAAGGAAAAAAAATATCTAAGAATGAATTTCTAGGCCAACAGACATTTAGAACTCAACTTTGTAGCACAGGAGATTCTTGGTTGCTTTCTCCCATCCCGGACTGATATAGTTCAAAGTCATCATTACATTGATTGTATCAAATAAACTAAAATGTAAGGGGATCAGGAGAGACTGCTGGAGGAGTACACCTCATATCACATGAGCTAATGAGTACCCTTCATGCCTCCCTGGAACTCAAACAAATACAGGAAACGTGTCCTTGTTAAGCAATATGGATGATGCCCAAGCCAGTCCTACAGTGACATGAACAAGGTCTTGGAAAGGAGACCAACATTTTGGGCATTTGTGAAAGGATCAGATCCCTAGCTCAAATCACACAGGGAAGGCACAGGTTACGTTGGTGCACAGCTCCCGGTCCACCTCCTCTCACAGCCAGTAAGGTCTTTCCCTAGGAAGGGCCCAGGAACATGCAATTATATCCACCTGTCACAAAGAAGAGCTCTTCCACACTCATGTTACTTACCTTCTCCAAAACAAAGAGAGACAGAATCGGATCAAGGAAGCCAAAGCAGGAACTGAGAGAGATGATGACAAAGGCTATCAGGCCAACTTTCGGTAAAGTGACAAGTTTCCAGAATGAGTGTTCACCTGGATCAGCCTCTGGAGGAAAAAATGAAAAAAAAAAAAGGAATAAATCATAGACACATCTCTTTATCTTATAACTTAATTTTAAAAGTCATATTGTTAAGGCCATCTTTTATAATAATCAAAACAACTTTTGAACCTCTGAGTTCATCTAAAATTATATATCATCTATCTTTGTACATGAGTTACTCAAATCTAGAGGTCACATTTAGTTTTATAAAAAATAGTTTCCAGCCTGGTGTGGGGGTGCACATCTGTAATCCCAGAAACTCGGGAGGCTGAGGCAGGAGGATCAAAGGTTCAAGGCCAGCCTCAGCAACTTAGCAAGGCCCTAAGCAAATGAGTGAGACCCTGTCTCAAAAAAGAAAATAAAAAGGGCTTGAGATGTGACTCAATGGTTAAGCAACCCTGGGTTCAATCACCAGGACCAAAAAAAAAAAAAAAAAAATTCCCAAACCCAAAAAGAATCAACTAGAATCAGAATGTGAGTGGAAGAAATGGTCTCAGGTTTTAGGTTATAACCAAAAAGTAAGGCCTCCCCTTGATAGGATAGAGAATGTGCAGAGTTTGATTTGACACAGGGAAAAGTATCACCAGTTCCTTACCAAGGAAGAATATGGGTGTGCTTAAGGAGCAACTCACATTAATTAAGAAAAAAAAAAGTTATGTCTTAAACATTTTTCTGTTGGCAAAGCAAACTTAGATTGGAAGTGGGGCTACTGACCTTATGGGAATTACTTTTAACATCCAAGGTGTAAGTTCAAATGAACTCCCATTTCCTACCATTCTTCAATAGTAATCCTACTTCTTCACTGTTTCAAGCATTAGGCACGGTTCTCTCCAAGCCTCCACAAGTACTGCATGACCTATTTCTTATTTCCTTGCTATTTTTTCAAATTCTGTTTATGCTATAAGAACTGGCTCTAGCCCTGACTCATTGATTTTACCTTCCTCTGGTTTCCTACTGCACTTTCAATTTATATTACATAATTTAACACTGAAATCATATTTCCCTTTGTGTTTACTATTGTTTGATGACTTTCTTCCAGTTAATTTACTGAGCAAAATCTTTGCTGAGCCAGGCATCACACAAAACTGTATGCACAAGGATGAACAAGACAGATCCAGACTCCTTCCTTGCAGAAAAGTTACAACAAGGGGTGAAGATAGCTAGGATGGAATCTGAAAGGGGATGGGATATGAGAGACTGTCTTAAAATGCAACAGAGAGCTACACAAGAAAGGCTTTTAGAGTAGTGATATCTAAGCTGGAGCCTAAAGAATGAGCTTGAGATGAGCAAGTAAAGAAGGAAGAAAGAATAATCCAGGCATGTTATTAAAAGACTTAGAAGCGAGAAAAAACTATTTTGTGTGTGAGAAAATGAAAGAGAAAAAGTACACTCGGAAGATCAAGATTAGGCAGAAGACACCAAGGTAGTGGGCAGAGATCACACCTTGGGAACCCAGCCTGAGAAACACTAGGGATTTCAGGCCGGGAATGAGAATAAATGTGTGGTTCAGAGAGATCGTTTTGTGGCCCCATGGAGGGGGATAGTTAGCAGGTGGCCACAGCAATCCTATCCAGATACCATGCTGGATTTGAACATGGAAGTTCTTGGAGGGCGAGGATCAGCCCTCATATATCGTCATTTCTCCTGCAGCACTTAGCATAGCTAATCACTCTAAAAATACTTGTTGAGGGTCAGGGTTGTGGCTTAGTGGTAGAGCACTGGCCCAGCATATGTGAGGCACTGGGTTCGATCCTCTGTACCACATAAATGAGTAAATAAATGAAAAGACTTGTTGAATAATGACTAAGTATGGGGCAAAGCACAAAAAAATTCACCGAGTGGTTCAACTATTTTAAGTACTATGCTTAGGACTTTTTCAGGATACAACAGATGAAGTTAAACCTCATGCTAGTTTTTTAATTTACCAATTAAGTATTTAACAGGGAAGCAAATCTCAGCACAGACACCATGTTTCATTTCAGAAACAGCATGTAGTTCAATTTAGGAGAACTAGCACCACCATGTGGCTCTGTGAGGTATTGTCAGCTGGGAGATGGTTGGGTGTGAATACTGAGTTATATATACTCTTTATTATTCACCTTTAAAATAAGAATTACTAAAGATTCCAATTTTAATTGGCTACCTTTATCATACATGCAAAARTTAGTATATGTTAAGGTAGAACAGAAACCATTATAACATAAATGGTTCCCTTAAAAACATCTATGGAAAGGAACACATTATTAGTTAATCAATTAAAGCTGACCTCAAGGGATGCTCAGTAGAATTACCTGAGGAGTGTTTCAAAGCTACCTGGATATTCCCTCGGTTTCCTCCATATTCTGATATATTCTTCTTGGAGAGATGTGACTCCCTGGTTGGCAATGCCTGCCCTGAAGCTTCAGGTAGAGATGGGAGATGGGGGAGTCCTTAGGTGTTGGAGGACAGGACAAAAATMTAAGCACTGCAGCACTACTTACTCAACATCTATTCCAATGGTGAAGAACACTTAGGAAAACTTCCCAGAAGAGGTAATACAAATTATGTCTTATAGTATAAATAATTGTTAGGAAGTGTGGGAGGCAAGATTCCAGAGAACGTGACCCCTGTACCTAAATCTAACAATAGCTCCTAATGGCTTTCAGGATAAAGTTTGTACTTGGTGAATCTGATTTTTTTTTCAACTTTTTTTAAAGTAAGGAGTAAAATTGTATATATTTTTGATGTACATGTATGCACTGTGGAATGGCTAAATCAAGTTTATTTAACATGTGTTAAATACTTATTTTCTTGTGGTGAGAACATTAAAAATCTCCTCTATTAGYAATTTTCAAGTACAGTAGTMCCTCCTTATCTGCAGTTTTAGATTTCAGTTCTTCATGATCAACTGTGGTTTGAAAACATTGAATGGAAAATTCCAGAAATAATTCATAAATTTTAAATGTTTTATTATAGTATAGCTAAAACAATGGTTTTATTTTATTATTGGTTATTATTGTTAAATCTCTTACTGTACCTAATTAAGAAAATTAAACTTTATCATAGGTATGTATGTGTAGGAAAAATAGATTGTATATAGGGGTTGGTACTATCCATGATTTCAGACATCCAGTGGTAGACTTGAAACATATGCCCCACGGAGAAGGGGAGACCACTGTATACAAAATATTTTTATTAACTATAATCTCCAGGAGGTRGGATTGGTCTGCTGAACTTATTGTTTTAAGGATTTTAATAAGAGGATTTGAGGARGACAGGGACCCCCATGAAAAGCAGCACCCCTTAAGATTAAAGAAGTAAAAACTCTGAGGAGGGAACAGAGACAAATCCCCCCACACACAYACCCATCCCTGGAAAAGAGCAAATGCACTTCAGGGACCTTAACTACTGGCTGTTAGCTACTAAAAGTATGGTATGCAATCAAATATAAACTAACAGACTACTGAAAGGAAGTCAATAGAGTAGAGGAAGGAGAATGGGAGAGGGGAGGGAGGATGGGAGAGGGGAGGGAGGGTAGGAGAGGGGAGAGAGGGTGGGAGAAAAGGGAAGAGGGAATGGGGGAATCATGAATTGGAATATATTTCCAGTTCATGTATGAGATTGTCAAGATGCATCCAACAACTCTGTGTAAGTATAAAGCTCTAAAAAAAATAATTTTAAAAAAAGTATGGTATGTATCTTTCCCTGCCCTCTCACTGACAACCACCTATTGGTCTCAAAAGCCAGGTGCATCATTAAAGTCAGGATACCCTCTTGCCAGGACTCTTCAAGGACAAATAACACAGAAGATAAAACTGCTGAGGAGTCACTCAAACAGCAATTTCGMAGACTCTTGTTACTGGCAGGACATGTTTTTTTCCCCCACAGACCTTATGTTCTCTTAACTGTAGCAACTCTGACCCCAGGCTAACCATGCCTCCCTCAAGGTTAAAGTGCTTGCCCAGGATCCACAAAGAAAGAGACTCAGAAAATGTACCCAAAACCAATTAAAATTCCTAGACTCTAGCCCATCCCTGCAAGCAGCCCTTTCATATGAATAAAACTAGCTCTTTCTTTTGTCTAGAGAGCCAGACTGACACTCTCTGGCTCAATGCTATGTCTCCCCTCTGCTCAAGAAAGAAGTCCCCAAAAAGAGTCCCTTCCCATCACAGTTGTATCCTCAACTGACTCTTCTGATGGAAAGCACAGGAATCCACCAAGTTGTAACAGATTGGCATATCCATGACTCTAATTTAGATATGTTCTTATATATACAGGGAGGAGGCTCGTGAGCAGATCTAAAGAATTAGGGACAGGGACACTTAGCACCCAAAGCTAAAGCCACAAATGTCCACAGGTCTAGAAGTGGTAGAACTTGTAGAATACCAAATTTTGCCAATATCAAAAGAAAAGAAAATTAGTTTAATTTTCAAACTTGTGTGTGAAAACTCTCCTAAAAGAACAATTTTTAAAAATACTCCTAAACAGGAACACCTAAATCTGCATTTACAAGTTTTAATATTATCAACCCCAGGAACTTTTTTTAGGGAGTCCCCCCAACTCCACCCCTCTGCCCCCCCCCAACTTCACACCCCTGACTCAATTTAAATAAAGGATCCTTCTAGGTAAAGAAAAAAATGTCAAACTATTGGGGAGGGCTCATAAAAATATAGCTATCTGGGACTTTAAGTTCAGTAACAATGTAGGAAAAGTTTAATTGAGAAATAATAGAAAAAAAAGGAAAAAGTACGAAGTAACTAGGCTGGTGATTAGATATGGTTGAAAAAGACAGAAAATGAGGAGGGAGAGAAAAGGTGATGTGGAGAGCAGGCCAGAACTCCAGGAGCAAGAGATTTTGAGGTCAGCCTAGCAGTAATCACAGAAGTCCTAACTAAACACCTAGTTCTGCCATGGATTGGGATCTTGGCAAAGTCTTTTTCTATCACCTGGTGTGATGAAGTGTTATCAAAAACTCTTCTCCTGCTGCATGAGAATCTGACTGGTGTCCATTTCTTAATTATTAGCCAAGTAACCAACAAGCAAACCTGAGCACAGTCCAGGATGCTCAACTACAGAACCAAGGGTGTCATTCACTTTGAAAGACAAACATCACTATGCAGCTCAGGGTGATAGTGTGTCTCTGGCTCTGTTCTCTGCTGCTGAGTATAACAAAAAGAGCCATGACTCTCTGGGCACAGTGACCCTCCTGTAATCCCAGTGACTTGGGAGTCTGAGGCAGAAGGATCACCAGTTCAAGGCCAGCCTGGGCAACACAGTGAAACCTGTCTCAAAATTAAAAAATAAAAAAGACTGGGGGTGTAACTCAGTAGTAAAGCACCCCTGGGTTCAATCCACAGTACCTAAACACATAAATAACCCTGACTGATAAATTTCATCTGGACAAAAGAAACTACAAATGAACCATAAGTACCTGATAAGGACTCTGTTTTGTGCCTCCCTGAGCCTGCTAACTCATAAACAGGACGTCCCTCATGGACACCTGGCTGCAATAGCGTGAACTTATCACAGGGCAGAGAGAATCCTATGGGGCACGAAGCTTTGAAACCAGGAGGAGGCCCATTGCTGCCTGATGTGGACCTGTGTCCTTGCCCCTGTGCGGTGYCACACAGACAGCTTCAAAGCCCACTGGAAAGGAAGAAATGGCCTTGCCCTCTCCTACAGCCTCCTAGGAATTATGGGGCAGTGTGTGACCCACAGGAACTTCTTGATATGAATATTTAATTCAGTCCAAGACAACTTCTGGTGGGCACTGCCTATGGTGATAGGTTATGAACAGAAATTAAGTATTTGCTTGCACTAAAGATTGGGGAGAGAATTGGTTATGTGCAGAAATTTTTATAAACTAATCGACTACAACATTTATGTAAAGAAAATCAGTCTTTTTAGAGTGTCCTAAAGAGTTATTAGCAATTACATGAAACAAAAATGAATATCTAGTAAACTGGTCTCCTACAAAGGCATAAAAATAAATTCAAGATTATTAAAATGAGTAATAGGATGTGGACTTACCATAACTAGGTAAAATATATATGTTGAGTGGTACCATCAGCAGAACTATGCATCCCAGAAAAATAAAAGGCACTTCATAGCCAAAGGATTGATACAAAAAGCCACCTAAAGGAGGACCTAGTACTAGTCCCAGTCCAGAAAACACCTCGAGACCTCCCTAAAAATGGGGGAGAAAGGAGGTAATATATATCATTTGAAGAATTAACAAGTTACTATCTGAAAAAACAACTATGTACTTCACAATTTATACATACACACATATTTAACTGAAGTCTAAATATTTAGATCATAAAAAATTAAATATGGAATTTTTTTATGAGAGATTCTCACTATGTGCCCTAGGCTGGCCTCAACCTCCTGAACTCAAGCAATTATCCTGCCTCCAGCCTCCTGTATTCTCCTGAGTAGCTGGGAATACAGGTGTGCCATCACCATGCCTGACCTCTTTTCAAATTTTTATGGTGGGAAGGTTTTCTAGTTATGATATAAAACTTAGAGAAACTGAAAGAAMTAACTGATATATATGATTATATGAAAATACACCAAAAATGCATGGGGAAACGCATCAAAGGACAAATGGTGAACTGGGGAAAATATGGACAAAGAACTAATTCCCCATAGATATCCTGAGATACTACTAATCAGTGAAAAAAAAATTGAAACACTCAATAAAAAAAGTGGGCAAAGGCTATGAACTGTTGACAGAAAGTAAAATACAAATATCTCTTAGAAGCAACAGYAGTCTGTTCTCATTTTTTAAGAGAAATAAACAAATTAGACCTCAAGATACCTTTTTTTCACCYATCACCTATCAATCCTCTCTGTTGCCAAAGCTGTGTAGAAAGATACAGTCTCACACACTACTAACTGAGTAAATACAGAGGCAATTGGACAAACTATCAACATTAAAAATGTAAGTTCTGACCCAAATTTCCACTTCTAGGAATTTAACTTATAGGAATAGCCATAAAGATGTAACATGGTGTGCATACAAGCTTTTTATGCACTGTAGCACTGTTTGAAATGGAAAAGATATAAATGATCTAAATTTTCATTAACAGTGTAAACAAACTAGGTTATAACCATATCATGAAATACTACATAGCCAGTAAAAAAAAATAATAATGAAGCTTTTTATAAGTAAGTATTAAAAAAAATCTCCAATATGACTTTCTTGTTAGTGTAATCAGCAAGGTGCTCAATGGTGAGTATAGTAGGCTACCAGTAATGAAAAGAAAACAAAAGAGGAGGGGAACTGTGCTGTCTCTTGGTGTGTATATATGTGTGTATGTGTGCATATACAAACATGGGACCTCTCTGGAAGAAACCTACAATATCTCTTGCCTTTTGGGAGGGGGTAAAGCACTGGGCACTGAATGAGCAATGCAGTGTGTCAAATATATTTATTATATTCTATGCTCCTTTTCATACTTATGAATTTTGCACCATGCAAAATTGTTCTGTTAATTAATGTTAAACAGTGCAATGGGAGGAATAGTTCACTATTAAAGAAATTATACCACTTTTAAATCAATCTGTTTAAACAGACACCTGTGGCTTGCAACCTTCACTCTCAGACCTCACAGCTTATGCAAAAGCCATTCATTAATAACTTTCAAAATTTGATAAAGAATATAGGGAGTCTACCTTTCATCATAACAAAGCCATCCAGGCCAAAACTTTGTTAGAAGTGTTAGCATTTGGCTACAATTTTATATAGAAAGCTGAAATGACAACACTGAAGTTTCTCCAATGGACTGTTGCCATCATTATAGGAATTTCCTGGGTAGCACTTTCTAGAGTGATCTGCAGAAAACCACTTTTTAACAGCTCCACAAGTTTTATTGGGAAAAAGTTCATAGACAGATTGAGTTGTAGAGCATTTGATAAAGTATCTGTACTCCAGGATTTCTCAAAGCCTTAAAACACTAATGTGAACTAGACATCTCTAAGTTGGAGAACCACACACAGCACACTTCAAACTTATTTATCCACCAAACTGTGTTTTACAGGGCAGCTCGACAAACTAGTGTTCTTCTGAATCCTTTCTGAGAAATATATTCCAAGGAAATATAAATGGCATACCTGTCACCATGCCCACTATGGCAGATCAAATGACTATAAWACCCCAAATTAAACTATATAGGTAGGCACCTAATGCTTAAACCATTCAAATAGAAAATAGTTTATTTGATAGTAAAAATTTTCTATGACAGTATTAAATGAATAAACGAAGGGTCCTTGTTACTAAGATGATTAGACTCTGAAGTCTAGAAGACAATTATATGAAGGTGTCATTTGGTCCAATATGAAGACCAGAGGTCTCCTGCATGGATACATGGGCACAGAGAGGGAGTCATGGGAAAACCTCCTGGAGTCAAAGAGGCAGGTTCCCAGAGCTGGGACAGGAATCTGGTATACCTCTAATACCAGGTCTATATGCATCTAGATGATACACAAGAATGGGTATCAATGTGATGATGCCAGGTTCTGGAATTTTGTGTCAAAATAAGAGAGCATTCCTCACACAGCACAGAAGCATGTAAAGACTTCAAGATGATGCCCAAAACCTCTTTCACATATCTGGGGAAGGTGGAGGAAGGACTCTAGTATGAATTAAGTGTTTTGCCACCAGGAAAATCACTTCTATAGCAGAGGAATGCCCCAAGCATCTCTCCCACAATTTTGGTCACAAATAGACAGCAAGACATGACTCAGGCGATTTAAATAAAAGTGGTAAAGAGAATAGTTGGTTTGAGCCACATTTACCTATCAAACTGCCCATTCAGGGAATTCTAAGATCAGGAAGAGCACCTGAGTACCAGGAACAGTACATTTTTTTTGACATCCTTACTGCCAGAGTAAAAGTCAGTGAAAATTTAACAAAACACAAGAGTGGAGAAAAGCAGGTCTAGAAGRATGGATGCTAGTTTTAACTTGAAAGGTCCAACAAATATTTGGGGCTACACTCAAAAGAAAGTAAGAAAAATGTATAAACTACATACCAGTACTGTAGCAATATTATTTGGAAAAGCTTTTACGAGGATCGAAGATGATGCAGTTATTGCTGCACCAAAGCTTAATGCATCCATTATTCTCACTAGAAAACACATAGCAATAAATACAGGTCCATCAGGAACTTGGTCCAAGAGACTGAAAAGCAATAAGACAATTATCAAAAGCCAAGCTGGTTTTAATTTTTTAAAATTTTAACTGTACCCACTGTACAAAAAAATAGCATGTTATTCATAATTATTAGAATAAATCTCTTTAGAATATGAGTTGTTTTTAAAAGTTGCTTTGTTATACTTTCAGTAGGACACCCCCGATCTAGTTTTTGTTTGGTTGGTTTTTATTATGATTTGAGTCATAATGATAGCTTTAACGCCCTTTACTGCTGACAAAATTGTTCTCTTRCATGAAAATACCAAATAGGCCTTTTTAGAATACAGTTTTTCGTGGTGTTTATGGGGAATGGATTCTAGAATCCCTAGCTGTGAAGGATAATCAAATCCCTTTATAAAATGGCATAGTTTTTGCATATAAGCTGTGCACATTATCCTGTATAGGTTAAGCCATCTCTAGATTATTTATAGTACCTAGTGTAATGTAAACACTATRTAGATAGTTATTATGCTTTACTATTTGGGGAATAATGACAAGAAATCGGCACATATTTAGTATAGACCCTTTGTTCTTAAGTATTTGCCATCTGCAGTTGGCTGAATTCACAGAGGCTGAACCTATAGATTTGGAGGGTTGACTGCACATAGAATCATGCTGACAAGTCTTCTTACTAGCAGGTTTCTCCCGTGGTGGGACTCACAACTTCAAAAAAAGAAAGAAWCTAAAAAATAGAAGACTCCCACAAAAAAAAAAAATTAATGTAATGGTTTTCTGAGTTTATCTCTTTATATTTATTATCATTCCTTTACATTCCCCAAGTATTTACATGAGCTGTTTCCTAGAATTTGCCACTATGTTGCTCCTTTAAGGATTCTAAGCTTAAGAATTCTATAGTTGTTTTGCCTCTGGTACTCATTTTCCCTATAACACCAAGGGGAAGAAACCTTCGGCTTTATGCTCTAAAAAAGAAGCACCGTGACTTAGTCTGGCCAAGCAGAACATTCTTTCCCCTGGGCTACAATGGCCAACATGCAGGCATGGGCCATGAATAAAGATGAGGCCAGTGAGACTCCTTTCTGTGATTCTCACGGAAGCTATTAGGAACAGGGTACTCTCTGCTGAAACTGCAAGGGTCATATTGCAACTGAAAAGGGAGACCTTACCCAAGAAGAGGAAGGCAAAGCCAGGAAGCGAAGAAAGACTTCTGATGGCATGGTTTTATTGTTCTGAGGATGGAACCCAGGGGCCCTCTAAACTGAACTACATCCCCAACCATTCCGTTCTACTCCATTCCTTTTTTCTTAGAGAGGGTCTGCCTAAGTTGCCCAAGCTGGCTTCAAACTTGTGATCTTCCTGCCTCAGGATCCCAAGTAGCTAGAATTACAGAAGCCCACCACTGTACCCAACTTGAACAGATTTTTTTGGGAAAAAACAATTTTCACTTTTTTGCTAAGCCAGAATGTATCTGTGACTCAAAAATTTGTTACGTTTCTATCATTCACAGTCACAAGAGTCCTCATGGATAGATTCAGTAGCCGGTTTAATGACGATCCCTTGGATTCTTGTTCTCATTCTTTTTATTTTATTTTATTTGTTATTGATGGACATAATACCTTTATTTTATTTATTCATTTTTTGTGATGCTAAGGATCAAACCCAGTGCCTTACACGTGCAAGGCAAGTGTTCTACCTCTGAGCCACAACCCCARCCCCTGGATTCCTGTTCTCTGCTCACCCAACTCCTTCCACCTTTATTTGCATGCTGTCATTAAACAGACAGTAATAGTACTGATCAGTTCAATAAGCGATTAACATTTTAAACTGAAGAGAGATCATAAAATCTGTGCAATCTTTCAAAMATATCAGAAAGTGACTTACCCAAAGAGAATTGTAACTCCTCCTGARACGAACATCCCTGCTATAAACATAAATTTTGCTCCAATATGCACAAGCTACAATAAATGTCAAAAAAAGAGACATGGATTACTTCTACAAGTTCATATTTATATAAACAAATCCACTGTATCAGAAAATTTTAAAAATGGGGAAGACATGTATAATTAATACAATACTAAAATAACTCTAAAAAGAATGAATGGTGATATACAGACATGGAAGTTAAAAACTAATCAGCCCTGAGGATGGAATTGTCACAGGTAGCAGAATTTTAAAAACTGTAATGGTGCTTATTTCTATATTGATAGTAATTCTAGACTAGTAAATTGGAACACCACATTTGGTAATTTTTTTTTTTTTTTTTTGGAACCAGGAATATAACCCAGGGGCACTTAACCACTAAGCCACATCCTCAGCCATTTTTTATTATTTTATTTAGAGACAGGGTCTTGATAACTTGCTAAGGATCTCACTAAGTTGCTGAGGCTGGCTTTGATATTATGATCCTCCTRCCTCAGCCTCCCGAGTCACTGGGATTATAGGCATGCACCACCATGACTGGTTCATTTGACAGTCTTTAAAAATTAAAATGTGTATATGAACTTTAATACTTACATATTTTCCAAATACCAAGGATGCCAGCAAGTCAAATAAAGCATAACATCCAAAGATCATGCCAATCATAGTATTGCTGGCTCCCTTCTTTTCAGCCTTTGAAAAAATACAAACGGGAACAATGTTTGAAAGACAAACATAGCACAGTAYGGAAAGACAAAAATATGCAATCAGAACATCATCTTCTTGTGACTTTTATCTATACAGTAATTTCAAAAATTATTATTTTCAAAGGGAAACTATATATTAAAAACCAGTCTCTGACATGAAAATAATTCATTTCACCATGCCTACAAAGAATTGTTCCCTTAAGCTAGCAAAAGTCAGAACTAAAGAACAYACACAACTCAAAATACCTTGGGTGAGGAAATTTGGGCTCTACTTCATAGTCACAGGACTGATGAAACAGCTGATTTAGACACACTTCCTTTTTAGTATCCCTTTTAGTTACAGGATTGTACTCAACCAAAAAAATCCAAAAACACTTGTCCATAAAAAATTCAAGGTAGGAAATTCCATAAACCAAAATGTGGGTCACACCAAATCCTATTCAGTTTGGTCCCCTGCTTCTGTTGTTCTAACCTAGTACCTGACAGACTGAGAAKACAGTTTTCCTTTCTGACATCCACAACCCAGATGAAAAAAAAAAAAAATCCCCCTGACCCTCCACATTCTCCTGAAACACGTAGGGTAGTTTATCATCYATACATTATAATAATTAATGTTTACAGCCTGTTCCATCAGGGAGCTCTGAAGTTGACTAMAGATGATGCAGTACTTATCCTGAATCTACTTTTGAACTCAAAATGCTACTACTGTAATGCATAACTGAATTCAAATATAAACATACAAAGAACTTTTTAATAACTGTTAGAAACTCTGGAAATGTGGCAGATCCTTCTATCTGGCTCCAGCAATGCAAGGAGTTAAAATATGACTTTAATGTTTTTAAGATAAGATTAGCATACTGTGATGCTCAAAGCCTGAATGACATACCTCCATCCTCTCAGACAATCAGCAGTCTTTTATTGAGCATCTTCCATGTGTTAGGCACCACACCAGCAGTGAACATTAATGGTCAGAGAGGTAGATTTAGATTCATCCTTTCACCAAAGCTTCAAATAACTTGACTTTAATATAGAAAGTTAACATCCACTCATACACCCTTCAAAATCCATTGTCTACAACAGCCAACACTGCATTTCTTTACCTTTCTAACGAAACTTTTAAGATAAAAATCCCTCCATCCCTTCCCATATAAGATATCATTGTTATCAAATCCTGTCTTTTTCAAGGATGTTCTTTTCATGTCAGACTACACACCTTTAATTAAACCCTATATTTCTCATAGCATCATACTGCAAGAAACCAGACAGGTGAACTGACTATTCTAGCTGAACTTTAGGAAGGCCTACATCTCTTTCCAGGAAGACATCCATAAATGTGGTCCATAGACAACTGGTGGTGGGTGGAGAGAGGATGGGCCCACAGCACTAAGTCACTGTTTAGGTTGAATTTGAATCTAATATTCTATGGACTTCATAATTGGCCATTCCCTTTCCATGTACTACTAACCACATGAGATACTGTTATAGAGACAAGAACTATCTCATTATTAAGATACTTTTAATGGTATTCTTAGCAAAAGATCATCCTATATGTAGACTGAAACCTGAAGTCTACATTTCTTATACATAATGATCAGCAAAGGGAAAATATTATCAAAGGAGTCAATTAAGATGTAGGAAGAACATTCTTTGGTCAGTAGATAGAACATTCATCACTTAATAGATCTGGTAAGTATTTAATTCTAGAATCGAGTAGAAAACATAGAATTTTGGCTACAGCAACTAGTATTTATTGGATCTTTACCATGAGCCAGAATCACCACTAAATATTGTTTCACACGTGCCTAACAATCAAATGAGTGATATATGTTTAGTTGGCCCCATTTGTAGATGAAGACATGTGCTTGTGAAGATGACAGTTTTTGAACCACTGTAGCTTCCATCATGTGTACCCACAAYCACAGTGGAGACAGAATGGTTACATGGGACGTCCTAGAGTCACATGCCACAATAGCAAACACTACTTATGGAACATGGATCCTGCTTCACAAGCAGCAGCAACAACAGCTTTTGAAAGAAATTTCTAATTCACATGGAATCATCTGCAAAGGATGAGGATGGCCAGAAAAATGATGAATAGAAGTAGGAATCTTGTACCTGAACTAAAAAGAGTGGCCTATTTATTTCTGCTCAAATAGCTTTGGATAATAAGGTGATAAAACATGCAGAAGGCAGGGTGAGATTTTATCAATGCATTTGTGACCACAAGCTTTTTATAAAGAATGAAAAGGGAGAGCCTGATCTTCAYAGCTACAATTTTTACAATTACAATGCTCTCTCTCACCTTTATTTGTCCTATTTCCTTTGGCCTTTTCCCCTACAAGCAAATAAACTCAACAAAAACTTAAAATCACAAACCCACAGTYGGGTTTTCCTTTGCTCCTGTTCCACTTAGAGAAAACTAACATTAATTGTGCTCAGTTAGTAGTTTCAAGTGAGCCAGGAAATGCCCTTCTAAATGGTCAATCCACTTACTCCAGTTTTTCTCCATCTTATTTCAACAGGTTCTGTGATATTATGATACRTATATTTTTGTTTTCATTCATGGTTCCTGGCTTATAACTCTGACCTACATTGTCTRTTACAAAAGCCTCCTCATTACAGAGAGTCCTGTCGCATCCCCTGGAGAAGGAATGCTGTACAGGGAGGCCAAAATGAAACTGTATGTACAGATCCTGTGAGTTTCTCCACCCAATCTATAAGCACTTGGCCTATGCAATGAAGTCTCCACAAAAACCCAAAGGACAGGGTCTAGAGAACATGTGGACAGCTGAACACATGGAGGTTCCTAGAGRGTAGTGTCCACAGAGGGCATGGAAGCTCCATGCTCCTTCTCCCATGCCTCACCAATGYATCTCTTCACCTATATCTTTAATAATAAATCAGTAAACTTATGTTCTAAGAGCCACAGCCAAGTAGTAATGATGCATGGCATTTTTGGTTGAAAGGTGATGCCAGCAAGCCATTGAGATGATATGATTATGTTAAGATCTGCATTCAAATGGATATTAGACCCCTGCTGTCCACCTTGGCCTGCTACAGAACTCCTGGAGAGTTCCCATTGGTTGRGGAAGTGCGGTAGGAGGGAATTCCAGAGGAGGGATTTCCTGTTGGTGTGTGTCAGGGAGAACGCCACGTGTGTGGGTCGGCATATTTCCCAGGAGCATACAGGGCATTGGCAGGAGTTTCAAAAATAAAGTTTGTTCCTGTTTGAGTGGCTCGTGATTTTGTGCCCAGCCAGAYTGCGGCACTTAAGAGTTTTCCTGAGGTGTGTGGCCACTCAMTCAAAGTAATGGAACCCAAGGAGAGGGTTATGGGAACCCCAATTTATAGCCAGACAGCCAGAAGAACAGGTAAAAAYAACCTGGGACTAGTTAGTGACTGGCATCTGAAGGCAGGTGGCAATTTTGGGAATTGAGCTCTCAACCTATGAGATCTGATGCTATCTTCAAAAAGATAATGTCAGAACATTATCTGACACTAGAGGACACCTAGCTGGTGTGTGCTGCTGCAGGAATTGCTCGCTGGCTGGAGAGGAGAAATCCCMGCCTGTTTTGAGGCCACAGAAGTGATCTGTGCTGTGAGTGCATAGCAAGAKAAATGGTTCAGGTTGGATTTTCCTTCTATACCCTCAGAGGCTCCCATCATTTTTTTTTTTTTTTACAAACCCCAAGTCTTGTCACACCATCATGCTCAAACACCTCTGATGACTTCCCAGTGATTGAGCTCTTGGCATGCATYCAAGTGCCCTTGCCTTCTAGCTGCAGCATGCCCCTGGGATTCTTGGACTCCTATCAGATCTCACCTCACCCTAGGYTCAAGTTACACTGAACTGTCTTCTCTTTTCCAGGACCACGCCATTCATTTGTTCTTTGCATGACTATACATACCTTGGATGCCCTCCCCTCTGTGTTCACCTTAGACACCACCATCTCTTAAGACCCATCTTAGATTTATCTTGTGAAGTTCCTTTCAATACCACATCTTCACYTGGCCACTCTTCTGCCCATGGCAGAATTAACCATCCTCTTTCTTGAGTTTCATAACATTCTGGGCATCCTCTTTTTAAAGGATATTCAAATAGTCTGAAACCTTTCTTGTCATATTTCTTCACTCCCAATGGACAGATAAGAGAGGATCATTTTCTTGATTATTTTTCTCTAACCCATCATACTTAAGAGTAGGAACTTACTAAACCTCTAGTGAATAGGACTGATGTGGGGGAGTGACTTCACTGCTGAAACTGTTTCTTCATTTGCAATATGATGGCCTTCATTTGCAACATGATGGGATTCTTGCTATTCTACCCTTCTTATGTGGTTGTGGTAGGCACCAAATGGGTAAGTGGGTGGGAACATGTAATGAAAACAACGCTAGGGCTGGGGATGTGGCTCAAGCGGTAGCGCGCTCGCCTGGCATGCGTGCGACCCGGGTTGGATCCTCAGCACCACATACCAACAAAGATGTTGTGTCCGCCGAGAACTAAGAAAAAATAAATAAATATTAAAATTCTCTGTCTCTCTCTCTGTACCCCTCTCTCTCTCTCTCTTAAAAAAAAAATCCTTTAAAAAAAAAGAAAGAAAAGAAAACAACGGGAGAGGGTTGTATGGGTACAGAGCCTCATTGTTCTTTTAGCAGAGAAGCCACTTCATCCTCCTTTGTAGCATATAGAATGAAGGACTACACGTCATCAAGGCAGATAGAGGGCTGAGAAACTGCTGATACACTGTAAGCCCAAGGCTTTGGCAAAGAGGACAAAATAAAACACATGGACATACTATTTCTACTTGCCCAAGCCAGTCCCCTTCATCCCATATTACASCCCTTGATTCCAGGGGTTATTTTTTTTCTTTGTGACATTTTCTATAGATCCTAACACCAGAAAAGGCTATGATTAGAGAGAACTAGGCAATATTAATCAGAGTTTTTCCTTCACATTACTAGAGTCTATAAGAAATTCAAGTCAGAAAAAGGAATTCACTGGAACACTATATTTTAATTCTAAAATACTAATAAATCAGAACACCAGTAAGTGAACACATTATTGTCTTAGGGTCCTGTCTTAATGGAGACCTGTAGCACAACATTTAAATCTCAACTATTCAAAGCACCTCCTTTTTGTTTTTTTTAATTGCAAATATCAAATATGATTAATCAAACTACATGGTAAACAAAGTAACACTCAAAGGGTCAATTATATTTTAGTTGAACTACCTTCCAAGAGAATAGTCTTTCTAGACTTGTTTCTCTTTTTATTTTTTATTTTTTCCTGGTGTTAAAACATTCTAGAAGAAATATTCTTTTAGTTGAAATCTTATGTTTTAACTATATTATAAGCAGATTTTTATATTTTAAATACTATAAAATAAAATAATTCAAAGGCTTTTTTTTTAAACTAGAGTTCATAAGGATACAAAAACATCTTACCTCCTTGGGGAAAAAGGGTCCAAGGATAGAATAGGCCATCATGGACCCTAAGTTCATGGAAGCAGCAGATATTAGTACAAACACCTGTTCTCTTGAAAGCCGTCTGGGTGTCTCTCTTGAACTTCCTGAAGGGCCATCACCTTGGATGCAAACACACTGCAATTACAGTCATGTAATTGGGACTATGGATGGAAATACAGAAGTGTCATTTCTGTGCAAAAACAATGTACTCTGAAGAAACATGTTGAGCTAGGGCTATTTTAAATATAACACATGTGACCAAATAGAGAACAATCCTGGGAGACATCACTGCAATATTGAAAACATATTATATTCATTCACACACTACCATCTTTTAGAATCTCAATGCATACATTACCTGCCATCTGTTTTGCCTTCACCATAAAGTTTATTTCCCTGGTATTTAATAAATYACTTGAAGAAAGATGAGCAGCAGGGTGATCTCCAAAGGGTACCACTCTATGAAGTATAATTAATGTCCCTTATTTTCTCAAGTTACTAGCTTCATAAGTTATATGGACTCAAAAATGTTTTAAGCATAGAATGTTAGCTGTTTATTAGGAATTCTAGGGCAGTATTGAAGTCAAGTGGCAAGTAAGTCGAAAACATTCAAATGGTGGATTAATAATATGATATATTTCTGAAAAGGCAAGTCCCACAAATCTGATAACTGGATCCGTTTTTTTTTTTTTTTTTTTTTTTTTAACACGAATTACTGTCTATTGCATCAATTCATTTAACACTGGTTTTCAGGGCTAAATTGTCATTTAACTTAAACATCCAAATACTCAGGTTCAAAGATCGCAGCACATTTAGTAGCCCTTTTTAAATGATTCTGAGAGGGAAAAAAAGGAAAGGAAAAATATATTCGATTTGCTCTACTTGTTCCCAGAGGTTGCCACTATAGTCCAGAAGAAAACAAATCTGTGCAACATGGGGAAGTCTTAGAAATCTTTATAAAAATTTTGTAGTAAATGAAGAAGGGAAATGAGAGAAAGTTAAAAAGAAAGGGGAACAACAGTGAATACTTAAAAGATAATGTTTTACATTTGTCTAATGGTATACTTATTTGAATTCATTCTTAAACACACAGAACTTAAAAGCAGAGCTATGGGGAAAAGTCACTAGATACAAACTATAGCCAGGCCTCCACCCCTCCCAGAGAAAGAAACGCTGGCCTGAACCCCACGTCAGGACCCAGCCTTTCCAATCTCTCTAAAACAAACCATGCTAAAGTCAATTCGATCCTGACTAAAGAGACAGGCCCGAAGCCACCGCTGCGCGCCCRTCCCCGCTCTCTCGGTCACCTCCTGGTCCCCCAGGAGTCAAGGGACCAGACGCGTCCATGTGCGGYGTTTCCTCCAGGTCCAAGCCGGTGCCGTCAGACTCAACCTCCCACGATCTGACCCGCCGGTCACCACCGCTCAGCCTGGCCCTGGCATCTCGGATTAGCAGTTAGCAGCGATCTGCGTGGAGCTCTGCAAAACCTTCCAGGAGAGTCAGCGCCCGGGGGCGGGGCGGGGCGGGGCGGGGCGGGGCAGAGGAGGGGGCGGGTCCTTTCCCACTATTATCTTAATCTGCTTTAGGGGCTATAATTTATGCTGTCCCTTTTCATTAGGCAGGAGGTGGGGCGGAGAGGGGGAAGGGAAGACGAGTCTATATTTTATATAGTTGGACCTCTACGTTAAAGACAMAAAGTGAATTAGAAAATTAGACTCACACTGAATCTTTTTAAAGAGTTCGGTTATTTATTTTTCATCGTGTGCAAATGAGATAGTGTTTGTAATCACTGAAACCAGATATTAGTAAGCCGGAAATGAATTAAACAATGTGAAGCCCTTGCAGAAAAATATATTTGCAAGAATGATAATGAAGGAGGAAGCATGGCAGAGTGGCTAGGCATATGGTTTCAATTCAGGGGATTCTCAAGCCATTTGTGACTTAGGTCAGCATGGTCAGCTTTGGATTCAATCTCCCGAACAAAAAGAAAAAAATAGTGTAAGTATGTGGCTGCTACCTTACTCTCCCATTCACAATTTACAGGCACACACACACACACACAAAAGGTTTCATTTAATTCACCTTATGTACTATTTGGGAAGGGCTGTTTGGAGAATGGGAAAGTCTTGATTTAGGCTAAGTGAAACAAGACTATTTTCTTTCTTTTTCTTTTTTTTTAAAGAGAGAGAAAGAAGAGAGAGAAAGAGAGAATTTTTTAATATTTATTTTTCAGGTTTTGGTGGACACAACATCTTTGTTTGTATGTGGTGCTGAGGATCAAACCCAGCACCCTGCGCATGTCAGGCGAGCACGCTACTGCTTGAGCCACATCCCCAGCCCCTGAATGCAGATCTTAACATAATCATAYCATCTCAATGGCTTGCTGGCGTCACCTTTCAACCAAAAATGCCATGCATCATACTGCTTGGCTATGGCTCTTAGCAAACCCATGTACATAGTATATCTTTTTCTTTATGTAGGCCTTCTTTATTTCAGAAACGACTCTTCATTATTGTAGAAGTATGACATAGTCCATGTTAAATTTATTCCTAAATATCCTAGTTTGGGAAGCTATTAAAGTTGAATTGTTCTATATTTAAATTTCCAATCATTTGCTGATTTTATATATATATATATATATATATATATATATATACACATACATATATAAGTAAATGAATTTTATACTACTCTTGTATTTTACAAACGGCTAAATTCTCTTATTAGTTCCAGTAGTTGTTTTATAGATTTATATTTTCTATGTAAAAATGATGTCATCTGTGAATAGAGTTTTTACTTCTTTCTTTCAGAAATGTATGCTTTTGTTTCTTATTGCACTGGCTAAGAAGACCAGTAAAATGTTGAATAAATATGGTGAGCCGATGAACCTTGCTTTSTTCCCAGTTGGTCTTCCACCATGAATTATGAGGTCAGATGCAGGCTTTTCATATGGCCCATTATCAGATTAAGGAAGTTMTGCTTTTATTATAAATGGTTTCTCTTGTTTAGTCTAATATGATAAATAACACTGAACAATTTTCTAATATTAATATAACTTTGCATTTTTGTATAAACCCAATTTGGTCATAATATATTGTCTTTTTTGGAATTAATGTGGTAGTATTTTGCCAATTTTTGTATCTATTTTTATAAATAATGTTGATTTATAATTTCTTTATCAAGTTTTGGTATGAGGATAATCCTGTATTCATAAAGCAAGTCAGAAGTTATCTTCCTTCTGTATTTTCTGTAGCAGTTTGAATAATATTAGTGTTATTTTTCTCTAAATGTCTGATAGAACTCAATGATACTATCAGGGCCTAGGAAGGTTATTGATAACAAGTTGTTAATATACTAAGTATATTGCTATTCAAATATTCTATTTATTTTGTGTCAAATTTGATAAGTTGTAAATTTCTAAAGAAATTTTCCTTTTCATCTAAGTTGCAAATTTACTGGCATTAAAATTTGCATYGTATTCTTTTTTTTTTTTTTGATGTTTGTAAGATCTGCTGACATAGTTCCCCTTTATTCCTGATCTTTTAAGTTTGAACCCTCTTCCCTTTTGCTTAMTCAGTGTGTGTGATGGAGTAAATGTTTGTGCTCTACTCCCCACCAAATGCACCTGTTAAAACCCTAAYCCCACTTTGATGGATTTGGAGGTAGAGTCTTAGGGAGATGATTAGGTTTTGAGGGAAGARCACTTTGTGAAAGGGATCAGTACACTTATCATAAGAGGCCAGAAAGCTAGTTAGTTTTTTCCCAACTCTAAGATATCTCTTCCAGAAACCATCAGTCTGTAACCCAGAAGAGGGTCCTCACCAAAACCCAACCACAGTGGCACCCTGCCCTCAGACTTTCAATCTTCAGAACCATCAGAAATAAAAGTCTGTTGTTTATAAACCACCCATTCTATGCTATTCTTCTATTGCAGCCCAACTGCCTTGGACAGTGTAGCTATGGGTAAAAAATCTTGATGATCTTTTCTTTTCTTTTTTTTTTTTTTTTTTGGTGGGGGGACCAAGGACTGAACCCAGGGGCACTTAACCACTAAGCTACATCCCCAGCCCTTTTATAATATTTTATTTAGAGACAGGATTTCGCTAAATTGCTTAGGGCCTCACTAAATTGCTGGGGCTGGCTTTGAACTYTCGATTCTCCTGCCTCAGCCTCCTGAGCCACTGGGATTACATGCATGTGCCACCATGCCCAGCTTAATGTTCTTTTMAAACAAACTTTGCCTTTTTAAGTTTTTCTTAATTATTTAGCTTCTTATTATTAACTTATTATTATAAGCTTAACTTCTATATTATCCATTTCTACTCTCATTTYTATTTCTTCTTTCTTCTACTTTCATTTGGTTCATTTTGTTCTTATTTTTCAAGTGTCTTAGGGCAGAACTTTATATTGCTGATTATCCTTTTCCTCTTTTCTAATACTAACATTTATGGCTTTAAATTTCCCTATATGAACATTGCTTTAACTACATCCCATAAATTATCACTCAGTTTGCAATATTTACTAATTTCCCTTATGTTTTCTTCTTTTATCCACAATTTAATAAGACCTCTGTTTCTTATTTCCAACATTCCAGATTATCTTTTTTATGGGGGGAGGTGTACCGGGGATTGAACTCAGGGGCACTCAATCACTGAGCCACATCCCGASCCCTAATTTGTAATTTATTTAGAGACAGGGTCTCACTCAGATGCTTAATGCCTCACTTTACTGAGGCTGGCTTTGAACTCACCATCCTCCTATCTCAGCCTCCCCAGCTGCTAGATTATCTTTATATTGATTTTTAATTTAATTCTATTATAATCAAAGAACTATTCTARAAGATTTCCATCTTAAGTTATTGAAACTTGTTTTATGACCCAGCRTGCATTCTCTCTTTGTAAATGGTACCATATGTACTAGAAAATAACAATATTCTATCATTGTTGGGTGTAGTGTTCTACAAAAGTCAATTATGTCAAAGTTACAGTTTTGTTCATATCTTCTATGATCTTACTTATTTGGCCTAATTGTTCTATCAACCAATAATTGAGGGAGATTCAAATATCTACCTACAATTTTGAATTTATTATWTCATTTAATTCTTTCAATTTTGATGCTGTTAATTTCTAATTACATTCTATTATTGACAAAGAACTATTCTAGAAGATTTCTATCTTGAAACTTGCTGAAACTTCTTTAGTTAGATAGTAGAYAAATGCCTTACATTTAAGGTAAGTACTGACATGGTTGAATTTAAGTCTACCATTTTAATTATTTGTTTTATATCATCCCTTCTGTTTTTTATTCAGTTCTTCTTTTGATTTAATTGAAAAAACATTTTGGAATTCCACTTTAGTTTATCTGTCTCTATCCCTATCAGTTATTTCTAATTGTTTGCTTAAGGATTATAATACACATTCCTAACTTTTCTGGGCTACTTAGTTAAAATTGTAACACTTCATATAAAACCTTGTAATTTAACAGATCATGTTAATTAAGAAACCTGCAGTTTTACAGATCCATGAGATTTTATATTATTCATCTCCCATTTTTAATGTACATATTTTTCTTTTTTTCTTTGGTTTGGCTGCCCTGAGAATTTTTCTCTTTACCATTGGGTTTCAGTAGCTCACTTATGTCCCTGGGTGTGTGCAGGTATGTGTCATGAATTCACTGAACTTCTTAAATCTGTAAATTTATTTATKTAACTAATTTGGGAAACTTTTGAATATTATTTCTTCAAGTATTTCTATATCATTCTTTTGTCTCCTGGCCCTTCAACCRCATACACAGCATGTTAGACCTTTCAATTATAAATACAAGAGCTTTTGATTTTTTTACTTCTGTCCCACAAGTCATTGCAGCTCTATTGTTTTTCAGTTGCTTCTCTCCCCCTATCCCTGCTCCATTCTTCAAGTTGGATAATTTCAGATTCATATAGCTAAAAGACTGGAAATGTTTTAACGAAGCCTACATAGACAATGATAAGGAGGAGAATCTATATCAAAGAATCCTTAAATCTCCAGTCTTTCCAGAAACAATTTTTAGAAAGAAAYATCAGAAAACAGTAGAGTTACTCTAAAGAAAGCAGCGCTGGCAGCTGGAGTCCCACACACTCAGGTTTTCCTTCTATCCCATGAGAATACATTTAATATTAACTTAGGGTTTGCTCTTTGGGCCACTGTGCTCTATTTCAGTTATAAATTTATCTTGTTGCTCGTTCATARTGGACTGACTTATAAACATTAAGTATCAGCTCTACCTTCCATAGTATGCTTAGTTCTCAGGAACTTTGATTCAGCCCTGTAGTGAGTATCTACCACATCTGGTGCTAGGTAGCAACTGAAACAAGTGGAAGAGAAAATATTCTGTACAAATGAAATRTGAAGCTGCTGTARTCAAAATGGAGTTGCTTMTGTCCTAACAAAAATAAATAAAGCTGAGAGGTTATAAAGGAAGAGTTCTTCTGCATGATTGACTAATAGTAGTAACTATCACAAAACACTATCAGAACCACAAGTTTGCACAGAGGCCACCATGGCCTTATACAAAAGTATTTTTACCAGGGCATCTGACCAGCAGCTGTCCATTCTACYTCAGATTGACATCATTCTTGTATCATTCACTCTCGCCAAGGATTATTGTTTTGAATTAGCTGCTGTAATCCCCTCATTTTTATCTTTAAAAACTTTCTTTACCTAAACCTCCTTGGATATATCCATAGTTTACTATAATATGCACACAGCCATTGAAATGCTCTAATATTTCCATTCAGGGCTATTTCCAAATAAATGTCATTATTCTTTGGGAAAGTCTCTCTGATTTTATAAAATTTAGGGTAACATTAGTAAGGCTTAGAAATGTGGATAAAAATTTCACAAAACTCTCAAAATTAACTATTGGCATAGGCTTCATACTTGGCTATATAATTATCAGTCCCATTCTCTCACACAATCATATTTTTTTCCCTCAATAAACTGGGTTTTGCAATTAAAGGCCTAACATACTAACTTTACAAGCTACAGGACTACCAATAGCCTGTGTTAGTCTATTCCACTTTTATTTATTCATATACTTTCTTATTTTATTTTCCTTCTTGCCAACTCCTTTTCTCTTTGGATTGTTCCTTTGACATAAGGGAATTTATCCAAATCTTTGTCTACAACTAATGTTTCTTAAGTATATTTCAAACTATAGTACATGTTATAACAAATGAGGGTTAAACCTGTATGTTCCTGAGCTGCATCAGGGTAACATTTTTCTGTTTTTTTCACAACATTCATTTCCATCTATTGTACATATATCGTTTGTACCCACAAGGGTAGAGACATTTCAAGTTTTCAARTAGAAAGTGGTTTTCTTGGAATGTCCAAGATGGAGTATAGCTACCTATCAACATCTTGATGTCACATTTTTAGACTGTGGAACTGCAAGATCATAAATTTCTTTTTTTTTTAAAGCAATTTAGGGTACCTAGTTACAACAGCTCTAGCAAATTATAAACTACGTAATAGCTAAACTTAGATGATTCTGAAATACAAATTTCTACTGCTGTCTCTTTCTAACTGCAATATTCTCTTTTTCTATCGATGAAACCTTTTATTACAGTGAGATGGAACCAGTTGTATCATAGCCGAATGTGAGATACAGTCATTCTTGAATTCTCAGTTATCTCCTTACCACATTTCGACAATCATTCAAATGGTTTGGATGGTTAGGAGTATGGGCCTTAAAGACCAGTTTCTCYATTTACTAGTCATCTGACTTTGGACAACTCTCTAAGCCTGGGTTTCCTTACTTCTTAAGGAGAGCTAATATTGGCATTAGTACATAAGGTCTTTATGACAATCTAGGGAGAAAACACAGAATAAGAATTTAGCACTCTACCATGGAGCTATACTCCAACCACCTCCACCCTCCTTTTTTTGTGATACTGAAGATTGAACCAGCTTTACCACTGAACTATATCCTCAGCTTTTAAAAAAAATTTAAAAATTTGAGACAGGGTCTTGCTAACCTGCTGAGCTGGCCTCTTAACTTGATTCTCCTGCCTTGGCCTTCAGAATTCCTGGGATTATAGACAGGAACCACCATGCCTGGGTGTACTTATTTTTTATATGTACGATTTCAAACTCATATTTGTGTGCATTATGTAAATGTTATAATCTGCTTGTATAAGAATATTTTGATACTAACCTTTTAATATATATTTTCTTCCACCTTTGACAATATCTAAAATTGAAGGAGGTAAATTTTAAAAAGTGAACTGGAGAACCTATATTAAAGATTCCTTTTATCATGAGTATGCCCTTTAACTTTATTTGCGGGGTGGGGGTTAGAACTAGTTATATAACTAAGATGATTTTTTWAAAAAAATATAGGTCCAGTCCTAAGGAGGGAGGTTTGTGGCTGATAGAAAAGGTATTTATTAAAGTAAAATATGAGGACATAGGTCCGTGATATTACGTCAACAGAACAAATTAGGAACTGCTAGAAGAGGAAAGCCAAGTCTGAATTGATAGGTACTAAACTGGGAACCCCAGCACTAAAGCCACTAAGCTAAAAGTCCCTTAGTCATTTTTCCTTCATGAAAATGCTTTAAAAACAGTTATTTTCCATATTTACATTTCCAGAGTCTTTACAAATTGCTTGCTTCTTCTATAAGATGTTTTGGGGAAATGAAGTATAATATGCTTAGCAAGTTAACTTTTATTCTTCTTCTTCCTTCCTTTCTTTCTTTTTTTTTTTTTTTTGGTACTGGGCATGGAATCCAGGGTCTCACAGATGCTGGGCTATCATATCAGAGTTATTTGTCCAGTCCTAACACGTTAACTTTAATTTGAAAAGAGTGTTTAAACACTCCTAACCACATTCTTTCTCAAATATAAAAATATTTTAAGGGTAATTGTCAAAAAAATCAAAAAGGCATCTGTGCCTCGCCCTTACTCTGTTTAGAATACTCTCTCCTTTTCTCCCCTGCTGATGGGATTCCCTTTTGGAGCCTTTTTCACAAGCTGCTACAAGCTCAAAATCTTCTCCTTAACCCCAGGCCACYTTGCACCACCTTGCACCACTCTTGTGGCATTTAGGCAATCTATTCTTGGGCTCAAATCTCAATCCCACGTCAAAAATGCAGAGCCGTGGGTACATTCTGGCTTTGTTTCTTAAGGCAAAGTTTCATAAACATTTGTGTACGTTACAGAAGACGACTCAACACTTTTTAAATGAAACTCAAAAGCAACTGAAAAGCTGAAAATGAACTCCAACAATTTACTAAAATCCCAGGACTTCTGTCTTGATAACTCTCCCTATAATCTTATCACATGGACAATCTTCGTCACAGCACCCAGGAGGCTGACTTTGCCCTATGTATACACCCATCAGGCCCATAACAAAGGCTTACTAATTGCTGACTGGCTGGTCAACTTGTTAAAATAAGAGAGGAAAAAAAAAAGATTATATTCAGCAGTTCCGTGTATTTGCTTTAGACGTGGACTGGGGAACCGGCCAATTACTTCAAAATGAAACATAATTCTTAGGGGGAAAAAAAAAATCACAAGTTTGGAGTTTTTCGAATTGCACCCCGAATTCGCCGACTCCTGTTTTCCAAACGCTACGCTTTTCGTTCCTATAGCACCCGAAGCCGAGCCCGTGACAAAGTGGGCATGAAGACACGGCGGGAGAGCCCTGCTCTGCGTGCACTAGGAAACCGGCACAAGACTCCATTGAAACCCACCACACTGAAACCGGAACCGACCGCCGCGTCATGTTTTCCGCTCAACTRACACACAGCCTGCCAAGTGGGTTTGCTAAGTGCTAGAAGTAGCGAAAACGTGTTGGCTCCCGTTTTAAGGAAWCAAAGATGAAGAGAGCCCACAGAATGACTTAGAAACCCAGGGGCAAAACGTGAAATGGGCAGGAAATTACAATGTGGCGTGGAAAGGATTAAAACGGATGTTCTTAAGGACCCAGGGCGCATTGGCACCCAGGATCCGATTAAACCACGATTTGGTTCCCCAGGCACTCCGTAGGATGAGCTCTCTGGTCTTCGCAGGCCACGCCTGCCTCGGAAAAGGACAGTGAGAAGCTGCCCGGGTGTTGCCTGCTGTGCGCGCCGAACACTGGCCAAGGCAGAGACAGATGTTTCTCAACAATCTTAAACCGGAAACAGAAAATCTAAAAGTCTGGCACCGCGAGAGCCACCTTTTTTTTGTGGGCGGGAACGCACATGCGCAGGGGAACCTAGCAAAACCCTTAAATACCGTCATGCGGTCACGCGCGGCCTCTTTCTCTGCCGCCGCCGAGTCGCGCGGAGGCGGTGGCTCGGGGTGAGTTACGTCTAGGGTCGGCGAAGGCGGTGGTTTTAGTGGGACTCGGTGACTTCTGTCACGGATCGGGGATTAGTGTCCGATTTAGACACAGTCGTCTGATCAGTGTTTTTGCTTTTCAGTTTGTTCAAGATTTAGCTTCGTCCGTAATCCACCGCCATGGCCGAGGAAGGGTGAGCCCGGGGGCCTGGTTTGGGGTGAGGGTGCTAAATAGGCCCGGAGCCATACTCTCCGAACAGGGTCAGCTGAGGCGCCATAAGCGTACCTGTCGTACATCGCCCGTTTCCGTGGGGTCCAAGGAGTTAAATGTTGGCGAATTTTGGCTGACGTTTCTGATTTGTCGCATTTCAGCATTGCTGCTGGAGGTGTAATGGACGTCAACACTGCTTTACAAGAGGTGCTGAAGACCGCCCTCATCCACGATGGCCTTGCACGTGGAATTCGCGAAGCTGCCAAAGCCTTAGACAAGTACGTTTATCAGTCTCAATACTGTGGGTTGTTGCAACCGGAACAAAACTTCAGCCGAGGGAAGAAAGCGCGAAGTTCATGGTGTTAGCACAAAAGTTCTGAATGGCATCCGTTCTTTAAACTACAGTGTTTGAATGATGACTTAAATGTCGGATACCCCTTCACTCCTTTCATGGGTGAAAACATTACAGTCTGACAAACCTGTAGGTTGTGGCTCTATTCTCGTTTTGAGGATTCTGAGCCTGATTCTAGCAAATCAAGCATTATGCTAAATGAATGAAACATGAAGCTGATGTTTGTTGCAGAAGCATCTGGACTTT